TGGCCCTAACAAACCACCAAGTTCTTTGCCTTTTTAGAACTGAAACAAATTTAGAGGGGGGGGAGGTTATCAGATTCTTCTAACAAAAGTCTTCTTGCCAATGTTCAAAGATATAGTATTATTTATTTGTTTGTTTTATTTGTTTATTCATTCATTCATTCATTTCCACTGTTTTAGGTTGTGGAGGTTCTTACTCTCTTCTTTTAGTGGCTTTTCTTAAGACAGGAGTAGCAAAGTGCAAATGTGGCAGATTGATATGGTAGAGCTACATATTTCCTGCATTGCAGTAGATTGGACTAGATGATCCTTAGGGTCCCTTCCAACTGTACAATTCTATGAATCTGTAATTCTATGATAGCGTGAATGTCTTAAAATGAGTTAACTTCTGATTTATTGTTTGAAGAGTACAATGTCCCCCCCACTCCCACCGTTGGATTTCAAAGGTGAGATCTCAAAACTCAAAGGCTTGAATTTCAGATTGCCCTCCCTCTTTTACACTGAGAACCTGGTTCTATAGAATAGGCATTTTATTCATTTTATTTTTCTTGCTGGAATGTCCTTGCCAGTTACGGGTGCGCGCGCGGAATGGGCATGTTAACTTCACCGTGGCTCCCATTAGATGTATGTATGCCTTTGGAGGAGAGCGCCTTCCTTGTTTTATATCTTCCCCCGGAACAGCTAGCAGACATTTCCCCTTCGGTCTGCTGTGGCACAGATCTGCCACAAGACTCCAGAAGATGGGGACGGGGAGGGCTGTGTGTGTGTGTGTGTGTGTGTGTGTGTGTGTGTGTGTGTGTGATAGGAATGAAAGGCGTCCTCCTGTAAGTCACTCCCAGTCGGGAGCAGATGGCCAGCGGCCGTGAAGTTCCAAAGGGAAATGTAAAGAAGCAGAAGAAGACCCTCAAGCAGCTCATTTCTCCTGTTGGGACCCCCAAGCGCACTTAAGGAAAGACCTTTCTCGACACACCTTTTCCCCCAGGCAGTATCAACTACACTGGGAAAGCCCAACAACTAGTTGTTGCAGTTTTAAATCTAGCCACTTTTAAACTGGCGGTCAACTTGCAACAAGCCGGTCTATTGAGTTTTCCATAGGCAAACAACTAGCCCTTCGCCATAGCAATAAAGTGGAACGAAATGGTGGTGGGAAGTCGTAAGCGGTTGGAGTGTACACAGCAAACTTAAACAAGCCAGCTAGCTGTGATTTTAAAGCAGAGAGGAAGGGCTCGTTGCGGGAAGCTCGCGGGCATGCAGATAGGAGGATCTGAGGTTTTCGTAGCGCGTTGCTGCTATGCCATATGAGAAGTTCCTTGGATGATGTTTCATTAAGCGAACCACGCTCCGAATGCTTATTTAAATCATACGGTGCATATTTGCGTCCTGTTTGCTTTCATTCCAGTTCTCCAGTTTCTCTTTCCATGTGTATCCTACTCGTTTTTTGGTTAGGTTTTTTTTTTCCAGGAAAAGAAACTTGGTTGTTTTATTATTATTTTTAAAGACACTATTGTCATAGATGCCCCTAATGCTTATTTAAACCACGTGATGCCTATTTGTGTCCTATTTGTTTCCCCTCTAATTTCTTATTCCTTGCTTTTTTTGGTAGAATTTTTCAGCCCCATAATCATGGTAAACTTTAAAAAAAAATCATTATTAGTATTATTAGTAATCGTCATCGTGCGCGTCACCATAATCTTGGACCTGTCTCTCCCACAGTTGCTAAAACAAAACAAAAACCCAATATGCGAATATTTCCGGATACCTATAACACTTTTGGCCCTCCCTTCTCCGCCATACCCTCAAATTCAGAAGCACTGATAAATGGCCTCGGGGTTTTATTTGGGCTTTAAGCCGGAAGAGTTATTTATTAGTCTTTCCGTGACCACAATTTGATGTCTCTTAACCAGGCAAATTAATCCCGCGTTTAACAAGCCGAACCCCGGAAGGAAGAAAATGACAAGCTGAGACCTGAAGTTAGCCATACTTTCCAAGGGAGGAATGGCTTTTGGTTTTTTTAAAAAAAGTTTTTTAAGAACTCTATTAGTTCCACACACACACACACACACACACACACACATCACTGGGCCACCATATTAATTTCTTTGGGAGAAAGTTCAGCCTGTAGAATGTCATGTAAGAACACCCAAGCAATCGCATTCTGATGACCCGGCAGACCTAACCCAGGGAGAAAGTCCAGCACCTGCCGGGATTCACAGGTTAGGATCGCAGGCCTCCAAAGTTTGATGAGAACGTGGCGTATATCACTGACTCCAAGGGTCGTCATGGTTTCAAGGTTTTGTAAAGGCGTCCATCTAAATAAATAAAACGTCCATGCGGGAAACACGTGTCAAACAGTCCTAGACCTCAGGATGCCAAAATGGGCTCTGGCTTCCAGTCAGGTGAACAGGATGGCAATTACAGGGTTACAGCCGGCTAAGTGTCGCAAAACTAGCCATGTCTACTCAGAAAGTATCATCAACAACAACTGAATTCAATGGGGTGTATTCCAAGTGGGTTTGGGATTATAGCCTTAATAATTTAATGTAAGTGTTATGTACTTGTGTGTGTGTATTTGCAAACAACATCACTTTCCCTTCCTTCTTTTAAGTCGTTTTTATTTTTTCCCCTCTTTCCTTTTTAGTTCTTGGCTTCAGTGACAGACCTCCACCCTTGGGGTCCTGAAGCTTGAACTGTTATGGGGCCCCCTTCACAACCAGCAGCAAGGTCTGGGTAACCACTGTTATCTTCTTCAGTGGAGTTGTTCCATGACAGATCACCACAACGTTTTTACAAAAATCTACTACTACATCTCAGATTTTGAATGAAATTGCTGTACTGGGTTACATCTCATGTCAAAGTCACTGGTGTGAATAAAAAAAATCCTGTGCCTTATAGTTTTTGAGTTACGGGAAGGAGGATGAAAATTAGGGAAATGTTATATACAAATTGGGTCTACTGGACCCAATTATTTTAAGCAATGTGGACTAAATTAGCTTCTGGGGTCCCGAAGCTTAAGCTTCTTTAGTTTCATAGTAGATCCGCCCTTAGTTGTCTTTGTTCCTCTTTGACTCACCCTTTCTTTTCTATCTTCCCAAAATCTCACGAATATAACTCCAGCAATTCTGTACTTACCCACCCCTCCTTCCCTTTTTCTGTAGTATGGAGCCCATTAAATATATACCCCATAAAGACAGCGTATGAAGCTCCCCCGATCTGACGAGAGCAACTCCATAAATGTGGGGGTGGGGTGGGGACTCTATAATTCATCCCACCCTTTCAGCACGAGATATTGCTATCAATTCCTAAAGCCTTTGTGGACACTTCTCCTTTCAGTCGCCCGCTTCCCTTCTTCGGGGTTCTGTTTGATGCGTCATTAAAGGACCATTCGGCTGCTTTCGAGAGTCCATAAATGGATGATTACGAACTTTCCCTTCCATGGGATTGCCTCTTTCCCTAGGCCATGTGTAAATTGACAAAGGAGGAAGAGACTGCAAACCACTCCACGCCTAATAGAATGGGAAGCCCAGGCAAGCAACATTTATTTACTTGTTAGCACATGGAAGACAAGAGTAACCTCCAATCTGACGCCCACGGTCATTTGTTACTTGTCAGGATATTTACTGGTAGTTCAGCCCACGAGGAGAGCACCAGAGGTTTAGAGCAGGCCAAAAGTTCACCTACAGGGCTGGCTTTGGAGGAGAGCAGCGAAGTTTGGTGGCTCTCAGCAACATTTGCTCGGGAAGGGAAAAAGAGGAGAGGAAGAGAGAGACTCTGAGCCCCTACTCCAAACGAAACGAAAGCAACCCATCTGAAGAAGCATTCAAGAACCCAACGCCTATTTTAGCTGTTTGCACTCTAAATCATATGAGAAACCGCCTCCTTTCAACATTGCCTGTTCTTCTGTTCTAGAATTTGCCAGTCTTAGTAAAAGTGTGGCTGGAGTAAAGTGGTCTTATTGGGAGTCGTTTGCTTGTATGTTTCGATTTTAAGAATGATCCGCAGCAGCGATTAAAAACATCCCATCCCCGCAACAGTAGCTAAATCAAACTCCAGTGACAGCAAGCCCAACTGGTAATATAGTTGCTTTTTATGAAATGTAGAAAGCGGAGGGGTGGAGGGTGGGGAGGGCCCAAGGATGGGAATAAATGGATGGATAGCCAGATAACATAAATAACGGGTAGATGGATAGGGTAGATCGAATTTCAATTTCATTTGCGTTTTCCCCCCTCCAACAAAACACAATTGTGTTTCTAACTTTATTTCACAACTCATTAGAATGTTGATTGAATTAAATTGCTCTTTAGCACACTGCTTCCAGACACAAAGGCGATGTGCAAAGCAGAGCTATTTGGATTTAGTTTGTGTAGTTGTTTTTTTAAGAGAAAGCAAAAAGCACTTTAAGCAAACTCCATAAACGTTTAAGTATCTTTTGGGTGATTAATTTTTTTTAAATGAGGAAAAAGAACATTTTCCTTCATAAAGAAGCCTTCCCTCCCTCTCCCCCTCCCCCCTCCCTCTGTTTTACGGGATACGTGAGCCTATCGTAACTGATATGGGGGGTAAAGCGCTCTCTCTCCTCCCCCCCCCCCAGCTAGGAAGAAAGGTTCTAATTATTTTTACCGTCCTATGAACTGGAAGGTGTGTGTGCCTTTTTAACTCACAGAACAGAACTTGAATAGTCCTAACTTTCCCCCCTTCCTTTCCCCAACCCCTTTCTGTCACTTCCTTGCCCCCCCTTCTCTTCCGAAGTCTTTGAGGAGGGTGGGGGAACCTTTTGACGTATCCGTGTTGTTAATCAGATCGATGGGGAAAAGTTTGATTGAAGTTCCTTTGTCATGCAAATGTCAAGGACTTGATGGATGATGGTAGATATCTGACAAACTTCAGGAGGCATTTGTTCATTGGGCTTGATGGCGACCACGTGGTCCAGACCCCCTCTTCCACCCCTCACCCCACCCCCACCTTTCCATCCCACCCCCACCCCCACCCTGAAGGCTTTGGGAAGGAGGGGTGGGGGTATGGGGGGCTCCAGGGCTGGAGATCCGTAGATGGGAAGGCTTCTCTCTCTCTCCCCCTCTCTCCCTCTCTCTTTTTCCTAGTTAACTTTTGACATACTATCTAAAGGTTGTAGGGCAGAAGGGATCCCCGTAAAACAGGCTGACCCTCTTCCATCATTGGCAAAGGAACAATACCTAGAATGAACTTCTTCTTAGACTATGCAATTTGTAACCGTGGGACGAGCGCCTACGCGCCCAAGGACTACCAGCATCTCGACCAAGGGACAACTTCCTTCCCATCTTGCTCAGGTACCTCTCCTTCCTGTGACAGCTATCATCAAGAGGGACGCTTCGGGACGACGGGGGTGGGCGCTGCTGGGCTCAACGCCCACCACCACCACCAGCACCACCACCACCAGCAGCAGAACTCCAGCTACCCTCCTCCTCTTCCTCCCAACCCTACTGGCCTTGGCATCTCCTTCGCGGGGTCATCCCAGCCATCGGGTACAGGATATTCGGCAGCCCCCAACTGCAGCCCAAGCTTCGCCAACCAGCAGTTCTTCCTCGGCCCCCAGGAGACGGATGGAGGCTACTTCCAGCCCTCGGCCTACCCTGCCAGCGTGGCTCCTTCTTCCTCTTCTTCCTCTTCTTCTAGCCTCGGGAGCTTACCTGACGGTTTCTGCGCCACCCCGGGCCAGTTCCAGCCACACCTCTATGGGCCTGAGCAGGGTGGCTATTTGCAAGGGGCTTTTGGCAACCTTTCCCCGCCCTTACAGGAGAACAAAGACCCGCGGGCTTGCTCAGCCCAGCCATGCCCCATGACTGCCACCACCGGCACGGCCACCACCCAGACCTTTGAATGGATGAAAGTGAAAAGGAACCCTCCTAAAACAGGTAAAGCCCCCTCGGTTCCCTTTTACAAGACGAGGGGAGGCTAGCAGAGGCTGCTTTCCATGTTTCCCCCCTCCACTGGAAGGTGGTTGTTGTCTCCATCATGCCTTACTCCAGAGAATCCCAAGAGCACGTGACTTGCGGAGTCACATGGAGGCAGGATCTGGTCCAGGAAAACAATACTCTTAGGCCCTGCCATCACCAACTTTCCAAACTCTGGCCAGAACGCAAAAACCATAATGGGCTAAGTGAGTGTGTAGAACAGAGGGCGTGGGTGGAAAGGAAACGGATGGTACAATCTGCCTCTGTTTCCAAAGTTGCCCGAGGGGAGAGAGAAGGCCAGCGTTAGCTTTAGGCCCTGAGAGGCAGACGGGGGTTCAAGCTGCAGAATGGTATCTAGTGTAGAAAAGGACGGAATCTACTTTCCTTCCCAGGGATCACCTCCCCATCTGGTTATGGGGCAGGCTTGTTTCATTCATTATGTGATATGTTTATGCCGCTTTTCAGACGGACATTGCCTCTCAGGGCTGCTCACAGCGCTCAGAAAACGTGACACCAGTTCATTTGGTTGGGGTTTCACCCAGCAGATAGAGGCACACATGCGCACGCGCGCAACGAGCTCTTCTAACATTCCGCGGCACTTTCACTCTTCGGTCCATGCCCACGAAAAGTGAATCAGTGTTTCCCCCTCCCCCACGCGCGTGTTATAAAGGCATGTCTGAGCCGAGGCGAGAATGGTGGTCTTGTGGCTGCTTCTTCACACCTGCAATTGGCCGCTGTAGCATCAGTAACAGGGTTACCGCTAAACGCTGCTCCACCAAGTCTCTGCCAGTGAAAATCAGGACTGCCTCATATCATTCACCCACAAGGGTAGAGGAGTCTAGTGGTGGGCATGGCATCCTGAAGATAACTTTCCTACTGCTGTAGTCAGTCAGGGTACGCGCAAAGCCCGCGAGATCCATCCCTGCTAAATGTAGGAACTGGGAAGTGTCCATTGGGTGCGTGTCACGCATAGTACCAGCTAGAGTAGTCCTGGCCTTTCCTATAGAGGCTCAGCCCAGCGCTGGGTTTTTCTGCAGGGCAGCATCCTCTGAGGCTGGGGTGGCCGAGCTTCGCACAATTCCCTTTAGGGTTGCGTTGGAGTTTTTAATTCCTTGGAGGGTAGGGAGGCGCCGTCTCATGGAGGAGTACTCCTTGACGTCTGTGAGCAGCAACCATTCCAAACGAATGGCGCCCACGCAGGAGAATGTCGCCTGAATTACCCCCCAAGTTCCACGCTTGTTTGTTATGTTTCAGTTTATTCAGCTGGTTTAAAAAGAAAAGAACAAATCTTAGCCATGTAAGAACGACCCCAGTAGATCTGACTGGGGGAAGTCAGAGGAATTTGCAAGCAGGGATAAAAATGAAATTAAGGGAAAGACCAGTCCATTTGGGGGACTGGGAAGCACGACCGGCGTAGAGGCGATGGATGGACAGAGGGACGGATAAAGATACCCGGTACAGGGCTTCAGAGTCAGCCCGAGCATCTGTTTCTGACGCTTGGCCTCAGCCCTGGAGCAGTGCAGTTAGAAGCGTAGAGAGTGCCCCTGAGCAGGTGCAGAGTATACCCCCCTCGTCACTAACCACAGAGAGTCTTCTCACACCCGGGATGTAGAGGATGGTGTCACAATTTCCCGGCGTGTCTTTTCCTAGCAATTAAGCATTGGCTGGAATGTTTATTGGGAGAGTTATCTTATCAGGCTGGGTCAGAGCTAGCAGCTGAGTTCACCAGAGTTTATCTCCGGAACCTGTTTAACTTTACGGACCACGTGAAGCAGTAGTTCGGTTGATACGTTTATCCGAAATAAATCCAGTGGGCGAATCACCTGTTTGCCACGCGGTACCCAAGGCAACGCACACACTTGTAACCTAAAACTTGCAAGTGGGTCCCTGCAACAAAATGTTGCACCATTAAGTGCTTCTTGTTCTGAGTTCCAGTCATTCTATTCCGCTCTCTCTCTCTCCTTCGTTGTCCTTCCTTATCTCCCAAAGCCAGTATCCCCGTATCCACTGAACATACCCAGTCCTCATTTGGCTGTTTTTGAGGTTTTTCTCTCCGTTTAGGGGTTTTTTTTTTGGGGAGTCGGTAATTAAAAATAAATAAATTATTTTCTCCACTAATGTCTACGGACAGAGTTCCCCACCATCCTGGAGACATTGAAAAATAGCTTCTCTGTGTGAACCAGGAAGTGACCTATCTAGACAATGAGATGGTTCTTTCTGCCCTTTATCTCTCTCTGCGTTTCTCTGTCCTCCTGTCCTGTTCCAGCCTCTCCACTCCAGTTGTCAGGTTTTTTTCTACTCAACATTCGGTGCCTTTGAACCATTATGAGAATGCTGTGTGTGTGTGTGTGTGTGTGTGTGTGTGTAGGGTTTGCGCATAAGGTTAGTGTGCGCTTTTGGTCCTTGTGCAAGTAGCCTGCACTTCTTTCTGCCTTCTTTCTCGAGCGTTGGAATTGCAATTTTGGCAGGAGAACGGATGGCATGGTATTAGTATCAAGATAAAACTATTAAAACTACAAATGATAATACGCAATAATATTGTTAGCCGCCATAGGCACAGGAGAAGGGCAGTATAGGAGAAGGACGAACTGATTTGATGTGTTTCTCTTGTAAGCCGCCTTGGGAGCGGTTGTGGATGAAAGGCGGTGTACAAAAAAAGAAGTAAATAAACAGAAACTGTTCAAGGTGGGGGGAACAGGTAAAGTTGTTTTAAAGGGCAATGGCGAATAATGCGAAAGTGTCATCGTGGGCCCCAATTGTCACAACACAATCTTCTAGGATCCTAGACTGGGGTGAAAGAGTAGGAGCCCCAGGAGTAAAAAGGACCCTCAGTGGCCCTACTCGTAGAATGTTCCTGAGGAAAAGCCTGCCTTTGAGCATCTGCAGAGTGCACCTATCCCTGACTGCTTGATAACCACAGGCCTGTTCCCACAGACCCTGCAGGTGGTGTGGAAACGGGGGGAATAATCCAAAGCTCCCCCGCGGGTGGGCGTGTATGTGCTTCTGATTTTAGACCCGAAGGGGCTGCAATTCTAACGCGTGGCTTCCTTGCTTCCTCCCCCCCCCCTTTGCTTTGGCCTTGTGGTTCGTCTCTGAACAGCGACCGTGTCCGACTACGGCTTGGCCGTCCACGCCAGCACCATCCGGACCAACTTCACCACCAAGCAGCTGACGGAGCTGGAGAAGGAATTCCACTTCAGCAAGTACCTGACCCGGGCCAGGCGGGTGGAGATCGCGGCCACCCTGGAGCTCAACGAGACCCAGGTGAAGATCTGGTTCCAAAACAGAAGGATGAAGCAGAAGAAGAGGGAGAAGGAGGGTCTGGCCGGAGCCCCCGCCGCCCTCAGCGGCTCGGCCAAGGAAGCCAGCGAGGCGGCCTCGGACAGATCCAGCAGGTCCTCCACGCCCGACGCTTCGCCCAGTTCCGTGTCCTCTTGAAGGGGAGACACGCGAGGGCCTCCCACCCCCACCCGCACTCGAATATCCTCCCCACCCACAGGCCCCCCTTTAAGGAAATAGCTCCTCCTTGAACAGAAACGCCAGGCCGATGCGCAGGCTGCCTTAAGCCTCGATCGTCACGCGCAAGCACATCACACGTCCATGGAGCAAGCCACCGCACAGGCACGTGTATTCCTAAGCGCGGGCATCTGTGCACACGGACGCCTCGATTGTAGGTGCACACGAACAAGAACCGCGTGTTCAGAAACAAAGAACCGTGTGTTCAGAAACACACCTACAGATCAGCTTCCAAATGACGCCCGCATATACTTTCTCTCCCTGGGTATTTTTTTTTCTGGTGGGGAGGGGTCATAGGAGCCAACTCCTGGCGGGCGGGGGTCTTCGAACCCCCCCCTTAAAAATATTTGTGCCTCCCCCCAAGTTGATGGGCATTGCCATTCAAATAGTACGCGTGCACTGCGTCATGTGATCGATTATGCGGGGCGGGGCTTACCTGCTCCCGCCCCCTATATTTTATTCAAGTTGGCGCCCTATCTCCGCAGAATCGTTTATGGGCTCGTACCATCGAGAGTTATTGCCTGAGGCAGATTTGCAGCTTTTCCCCGCGCCTGCCTGCTCTGACAAACCCTGCATGACAGGTACACGCGTGTTCCTTTGCTGCCTGAAACATCCACGGAGCAGGACCGCAACTCTCACACTCCTCCTTCCTTGGCAATGCGGAGGAACCCATCGCCAGCTATGTATTATTCCTTTCTCCCCGCACCCCCTATCAGAGATACTAAGAACTGGAGATTGGAGAGGAGTGATTCCTAAGGGTAGCCCTTACTCTTTCCCTCTCCTTTATGTGATAGGACCTCGCCCAGGACCAGGAGCTGCCTGTCTCTTTGAATGCCTACTTCATCAAGACTACTATATCTCAGGGACAGCCGTTTTCCCACCTTCCTTTCCCAAAATTAGGAACCGCACTTTCAGCAAGATTTGAGTGTTGCCGTTTTTGTTTAAGGTTGAGTTGCGGACGCAAGGTGTGTATCTTACTTTTCCAATGGATAAAACGAGGGTCATATTTCCGCGTTCGTCTCCTCGCTTGTTTCTGACTTTTCCTTACGCGCTAACGATTTTTTTTAAATTAAAAAAGTGTGGACATTTTATATAGAACGGAATAAAACACACGCTCTCTCGCAGCCCAGTGACAACGCCAGAGGCCTTAGAGAAGCAATTCACCCATTCATCTCCAATGTTGCACTAGAAGAGAACAGGGCCTCTGCCTGCTGATACCCCGAAATAGTTTGGCTACATGGAACTCCTTTCACGCATCAACTGTAGTTTCGCGAAGAGGCTTTCTGACCGGGTGAATGCAGCATTTGCTAAAAGGGAAGCAAGACAGCTGATAGCTACTTATTAACAGCTCTGTTTTTATTTGTCTTTGATGTCAGCACCAAAGTTTTAATGACCATAGTGATGATGATGTTTAATATGTTCGTGGGAATGTGCCTCAGCATCGTATTAATTCACTAGCCTGATGAATGACTCATCTTTTTGCTAAGATTTATTTTTTATTGTGTTTTAGGATATAACAAAACAGGCAGAAAGGGGGTATTGAACCAACTAAGGTTGGTACCAGAAATATGCCATTCTAAGAGCCTCCTAGAATTCTGCATCAGGCAGAGAAGCCTTCCTTACTTCTGTGACCCATAGGGTTTAGGCAGCGGTAGAGCAAAACCCCAAAATCCATAGACTTACACTTTGTAATTTTCATAGAGGATTTTTAGAACTTGGCTAGAGGATTTATTTAACTTGGCTATCATCTCTTCCAGCTGACAGGAGAGCCAGGTAGCCAAGTAGCTTAGATATAGCCAGCCTTTAGCAGCATGAAGCAGTACATAAGTGTCAAAAGAGGATGTGCTCAACATCTGGGGATTTGCTGTGTGCTTAATTCCCTTGGAAACCAGGAAACACCCTGAACTTTAAATGTGCTTATTAGGAAAGTAAATTCTTTTGGTGGACAGGTCTTACCCTTCAGTCAATGCACCCAGGATTGAGCATATCTGACTAAATTTGGAGGTGGGGGTGGACAACTTCCTGTGCATTTTCCTGTTGCAATGAATGGGAGCTTGGCAAGAGCAGCAGGCCCTCTTTCTTTGACTTCAAAATGCAAAGAGGTTCTGATTTGACCATTAGATATGAGGAGTCCTACAAGAAACATCAAAAGTTTGAGAATTTGGGAAGGAACTGAATCTTCTCCTCCCTCCCTCCTACAAACAGCCCAACTCTTTTCACATTTACCATGAAACAAGTCCCACTGAATTTAATGGGATTTACCCTCTAGTAAGTGACTTCAGGAATTCAGGTGACTTCAGTAAGTCACTAGTAAGACTAGTAAGTGACTTCAGGACTTCAGGGACCCAGGTGGTGCTGTGGGTTAAACCACAGAGCCTAGGACTTGCCAATCAGAAGGTCGGTGGTTCGAATCCCCGCAACGGGGTGAGCTCCCATTGCCCAGTCCCTGGTCCTGCCAATCTAGCAGTTCGGAAGCACGTCAAAGTGCAAGTAGATAAATAGGTACCGCTCCAGCAGGAAGGTAAACGGCGTTTCCGTGTGCTGCTCTGGTTCGCCAAAGCGGCTTAGTCATGCTGGCCACATACCACGGAAGCTGTCTGAGGACAAACACCGGCTCCCTCGGCCTGAAAGGGAGATGAGCGCCACAACCCCAGAGTTGGTCACGACTGGACCTAATGGTCAGGGGTCCCTTACCTTTACCTTTAAGTGACTTCAGGAATGCAGCCTTATTAGTTCTCTCCCTCCCTCTATCTCTCCCTGGGCTATGACTTATGGGGTAGTAGTATACAAGGACCTTGGAGAACATCTGTAGACACAGGGAATGCTTTACTTGCATGCACAAAGCTGGGAATAGGCAGGCTAATATTTCAAGCCAAAGGAAACGGTCATCCTGGCAGTAGGGATGGGCAACTTTTCTTTCCGTTTCAGTTTCTCTCAGTTCCTGTTTTTCACCAATCCTAAATTTTCCACATCAGTATGTGTGTATCCTCATGATAATCCATCAGTATTTTAGTGTTAATTTCTCCTAATAGAAAAAAACACATTTGCAGGTTTGCAAGTAATATAATGCCCTAATATAATGCATTTTGCATGTTCCCCCCCATATATGTATTATTTAAATACACACTTTAGTATATGCATTTTGGGGGTACACATTATTTGGCATAGCAAAAAAATCAGAGAAATGTGAATGTTGAAAGATGGCTGTGTTTCAGTTTGTGCATTGTTTTGGAAAGTATAGCTTTGATAGGTTGACTTTTAATGTCTCCCCCATTCCTACCAGGCAGGCAGGCAGGCAGGCAGGAACCTCCTGGCCTCTTTGCTTTTAGAGATTCTCCTCTAGGGCTTGGCTGCTAACTCAGAGGAAGACACTTCAACTAGTTACTTCTAAAACAGTTCCAAAATTATTTTTAAAAAGAGAAAGAGAGAGAATGTCTTGGTTTGACACATTTAAGGACTTGTTTGCATGGAACTGAATTTTGACCGATATCTAATTGCTAAAGTTTACTAACAATTTATCCTATATTTATTATTCCTTCCCATAGAATGAACCCCAAACCCCCTCCCTATGATTGTAGGGCGACCTGGGACAGACAGTGCAAGCTTTTCCAGTTTCACTAACATTAGCCCTAGAGCAAAACTTTTAAAAAGCAGAAACTTTGTTGTTGTTATTATTATTATTAATTATTATTATTTAGATTTTTAATGGAATCTAGTGTTTTAAGCTGGATCTGGAGACACTGTCTCCTCCTTGTGCTTTATATCTTGAACCGAAACTACCTCAACCTAAATAAAGTATAAATTTTCTCAAGTTTCTTGAACACTTGGTTTGGCCGTCTTTTCCTCTCTTGCCCCCTGCCCTTTGATACAACACAAACATTTGTGGGGCGATTACACTTCCACTGTGCAGTGTGTCCAGTATGGTTGCCTCACCTCAAAAGGGATACCGTAGAACTGGAGAAGGTTAAGAAAAGAGCCACTAAAATGGTCAAGGTGTTGGAGGAACTGCCCGAAAAGGAAAGGTTTGAGGCTATATAGTTCAGAGATAAGGTGAGTAAGGGGGAACACAACAGAGGTGTACAGAATTATGCATGGTATGAATGAAAGGAATAGAAAAAAAGTTGTTCTCCCTCTCTCTTATAATACAGTCATACCTTGGGTTTTTGAACAGCCTAGTTGTCAAACGTTTTGGCTCCCGAATGCCACAAACCCGGAAGTGACTGTTCCAGTTTGCGAACTATTTTTGGAAGCAGAATGTCCGATCACTGGCAGAGGAACGGGGGTGCGGAGGGAGCGGACCGCCCCCAGCACCACTATTCCGGTAGGGTGCCATCGCAGAAGCCCCCCCAGACACACGCCACTCACCCCCTCGCGTGCCAGGCACCACACCCCCACAGGTGGTGTGCCATGCCCCCAGAATGCGCGCCACGCCTCCAGGGGTGCCAGCCACGCCCCCACCTGCTCTCAGCCCCAGTAGCGGAGCATGCAGCTTCGTCACTGTGTCCGATGGGGCTTCTGTGGCTTCTGATTGGCTGCAGGAGCTTCCTGTAGCCAATCAGGAGCCATGCTTTGGTTTCCAAAGTTTTGGAAGTCAAAAGGACTTCTGGAACGGATTTTGTTTGACTTCCTAGGTACGACTGTACTAGAAATCAGGGGCATCCAGTAAAACTGAAAGCTGGACGATTCAGGTCAGACAAAAGGACTACTTCACGTAGTGCACAGTTAATTTCGCTTCCGCAAGAGACATTGATGCCACCAACTTGGATGGCTTTAAAAGAGGATTAGATCAATTCGTGGAGGATGTGGTTGCTAACCATGATGGGTCTGTTCTACTTCAACTGTTGGAGGCAGCAAATATCTGAATACTAGTTGCTGGGAAGCACAAATGCTGTTATTATATTCAGGTCCTGCTTGTGGACTTTCCATAGGCACCTGGTTGGCTTCTGTGAGAATAAGATGCTGGACTAGATGAGCCTTTGGCCTGATCCAGTGGGGCTCTTCTTCTGTCCTTAACATCTCTAGAAAGGGCAGGATCAATAGCTAATGAGGAACCGAGAAAGTTTTCATGCAGCTTCTTATATGAAGCAACCTTAGACTGAATCAAATGATTGGCCCATCTCACTCAGCATTGTCTATTTTGACAAGCTACCTAGAGATGCTGGGGAAGCCAGGAACTTCTGCTCTGTCACAGAGCTATGGCTCCAGGCTACTTCTCTTCATTCAGAATGGTCCAGAATACTGCATCCCCTCAGTGGCAAAGTAGACAACAAAAGGTTCTCTAAGTGACATTGGAACATCCACATCAACACAACAGGGTTGGTCTACTTCTCACTGGGGTGACAAACTCTTGAGTAGGTTCTGAT